CCACCTACAGAGACATAATGCTTAGTTCTATTTAATTGAATGGATCTATTCAAACACCTCTAGCAGACTTTCAGATATAGGAGAGTTTCAGCACTATACAACCAAAGTCATTTTTTGTCATTTTGAATGCATCACTCTGTTTGTTTGCCGTTTATGCATATTTGTATGCCTCACCAACACAAGGCACATGCATGCAATATGAGCTACAGTCAGAAGGACCTCTTGTTCACCTGAAAAAGGATTCAGAGGCACAGAGCAGAAGACCACAGGGAACCATTTTTTTGTCTAGAATTGGCTCACCAGAGTTTGTGACTGTTGTAAATAGCTGGTTTGATGGCATTGCCCATAGAATGAAGGAATGAACTGATGCAGTTCTGCATATCCAAGATAATTCACACTTCCCATCATCTCAGTGGTCTCCGAAAAGTTGTCTGCAATGACTCTTTATATAATGTTTTCCACTGGAGAAGAAAAAAAGTTTAAAAATTGCCTAAAAGAATTGCAGAAACCCACTAAAATCCTGTCAGAGACTGAGATACATTATGCTAGAGGAGGTGGGGACAATATTATGGAAGGAACTGATCAGCAGAAATATTCACGAGGTAGAGAAAGGAAAGCAAGATAAACAGTGATACTAGAAATGGGTGCTGGTGATATTAGAGCATCAGATGTATTGTGAGGGAGATGGTACAAATCTTTCTTCGAAAGTGTATGTGAAGATTGTCAGTGCATCCTTAAAATGCAGAGGATGAGAGTGAGGAAGGAGAGAGTGTGTGTGCTTGGTATGAAAAATCAGGAGACAGAGGGGTACAGGCAACCCCTGGTGGATTCAATGAGTTCACTCCATGGAGGTGACAAGGCCTTCTGATGCTTTTGTGACAACAGAGTGAAATTTACTGAGTGCAGGTGAACAGACAGTATAATTGGGAAACTGCATATTCACTTTCTTAATTAATTAGTATAGGCTGTCTTAGATATCCAATTTCTTCTTCATGACCAATGTGGATCTCATACAGTCCCCCTGAACTCCCTAAAACTGTGTGCCAACACATATGTGCAGTCACAGGAAATCTGTTTGCAGAGCTTTTTTCTGAAGTTCAAATCTGAACTTCATTTTCATATCCAATAGAAATTCAAATAATCTCAGCTATGGATAAACCAGTTATCTACAAAGTAACTGGAAAGAAACACAAAAACCACTTTTGGTCCATGTTAGGGCAATGTGTTATAAACTGTATTCTGTTTTCAGGGCATCTAGCAGCTTTCAGTGTTGTTTCCCTTTTTCCCCCTTCTTTCCTTTTTTTTTTTTTTTTTTTTCCCTAATGTTTTAATTTTTTTCTTCTTTTCTCTATTTATTTTTTGACTGTAATTTAATACTACTTTTCCCTTGCTTTGCTTTTCTCCTGAATCCATTTTCAAGTCTCTCCTAGGCAATATCTGACCTTGCTGTTAATTATTTGCCCACAGTTGTGGAGCTGCAGCATAATGCAGAGCAACAGTACTGAACAGGGCCATCCATCTTCAGCCTCTTAAACTATGAAACCTCATCTACAACAATAAAAACCTTCTATACCCTACAGGTCCTAGATTCAGATTTGTTTCTTGACTTGCAGCTGAGCCCTAGCAAGTACATAAAAAGAGATCTGCCTCTTTTGTCAGTGCAATCATTTTTATGTCAATGATACTGAGAGAAGTGTTAGTTACGAAAATAATGCTTATTACTCAGTCTATGTTAGAATTTATTCTAACACCTAGACAAAAATACCTAAGAAATTTCTCACTGTCTGGGAGATTACAGACTTATCTTACCACTCTTATTTACTTGTGTGTTTTGTTTGCTTTTATTTACCTTTTTTCCCCCTTCTGTTTTATTTTACTGAGTTATGAGTTACACCCGATACCAACAGGGTTTTTTTTTTGTCTGAGAAACAAGCAATAAACCATGTGCTCGCTATTTTTCCTCTTGCTGTAACAAATGCAGTGCAATATTTACTCCTAAGCATAGGTGGTACATGAAATCAAAAGACAGGGTGAGCAGTGAGGATGTTGGATGCACACACATCACTAAGCCCAAGCCTTGCAAGGTTCTTTGCTGCCACCCTCTGATACCACCTTCAACTGCATTTGCTCGTGTATCTGTACCTAGGGGGTAAGAAAACCCAGATTTGTGAAGGAATCTATGGGTGATTTGTATCAAATGTATCGGGAAGTGGGTCTCAAAAATTAAATTTGCAATAAATTAATCCCCAAGTTTAGCCCAGTTTGTGAGAAAAGGAGTCAGAGACAGCAGAAAGGGACTTTTTGTCCTGAAGTTGTCAGGAGAGAATGAGGCATTCATGAGGCAAATTGAAGCAAGAACTTTATGGCAATGGTTGAAGCAATTTACATAATTTTTGTTAAATCTCCAGGGACAAGCTTCAGGAACTCCACCACCTCTTCAAGTCACATCTTTACAAGTGATCTTTATAAGTCAGGGTTTAAAATAAGCTCTTGAATTATTGTCTAGTTATACAAAGAATTTTTCAGGTATATTGGACACCTAAGAAGTTCCATGGTAAGAAACAATTATCCTTTGTGTTCAGCACTCAGTCAAAGATGGTCATGCATTCCATAGTAGATTTTGCTTTTTTAATTCCAAATAAGAACAGTTTGTCACTTTAATACATCAACACAATCTTACTATTACAGGACAGATTACTTTATCCATGTGTCCTTTCCGTATACTCTGTGTGCCCCGAAAGGAGACATTTATACTGATCTTTGGTGTCTTAGCATCTCAACCAGACCCATTCTTGCATCCCCTCTGTTTCCTGGGCTGTGTAGGGGCCAAATCTGAAGTTCTGGTTCTATTTACACTCTACTTAAATATGGATATTTGTCCCCACTCTTTTGAACCATGCTTTTTGGTTGTAACTGTGAAAAGTTAAATGAAAATAAAATTCGAGAGGGGGAAAAAGAAAAGGAAAAGAGAAAATAACAGGATGAAACAGAGCAGTGAAGCAGATGTTTGGCATCTGGCCATACTGGAATGAACTCTCTCCACACTGAATTCTGTATTTGTCTTACACTGGAAAATAATTAACTTGTAGAGCAGCAGGTTCAGAGAGCCGTGAATGTGGTGATCGAGGCAATTAGCCCCTATCAGAACCATTGTTTCAGGCTCTCTGAAAAGTCAACTGAGTATTATTAGCTAGCCCTCTGCAGTTAGATGAGTCAAACAACTTCTTTTCAAAAATAAGGTTGACATTCCAGAGCACTTGTATGCGACAGGGTGAATTCAATAGCAAATTCCAGCCATGGCATGTGTAAGCTCATAATTATGATATTTACAAAGCTGGGAGAGGAGGAAAAGTCTTTTTTTTTCCCCCTGTTATTTATTGGATTAATTTTATGCATTGCTGACCACCCTCTCCAGTAATTGTTATTTGGGTTTCTCTTTTTTTCACCACCTTTTCCCCATTTCTCTCTATGTGACAGGTTTGGTGATGCACAGTGACACCCATTAACTGTAGTAGGGATCTTTTCCTTTCTTTTCACAGGTTCTGTAACAATGATACTCGAAATGTATGTAAGATATTGTCTAAAAGGAAGAACAAGTGACTTACTTTCTGTCAGGTCAGCAGAATTTATAATTTTGACCCTGTCTGCCCACATACAATGGCTTTAAACTGAAAGAGGATAGATTTAAACTAGATGTTAGGAGGAAATTTTATACTATGAAGGTGATGAGGCACTGGAACAGGTTGTCCAGAGAAGTTGTCAATTCCCCATCTGTGGAAGTATTCAAGGCCAGGTTGGATGAGGCTTTAGTGGAAGAGATCTCTGCCCATGGAAGTGAAGTTGGAGCTACATGATCTTTAAGGTCACCTACCAAAACCATCCCATGAATCTATGTCATGTGCTGATTCTATCCATCAAAACTTAATAAAACAGGAAATCCTTTCCCTCTGCTCTGAAGCTTTACCTCTTTCAGAGGATATTAAATGGACATTTTATTGAGAATAGCCTCAGCATCACAGTTCAACTGCCATAAAAGCCAGAGTGGTGCCCTAAAACTGAAATCTTTCTGCTCTTTCTGTTGTTTGTGTATTACCACGCTGAGGCAAAGTTTACAGAGAATGGAACAGGCAGAAGCATGAAGGTCTGTCTGATGGCTGAATCTCTTTCAGTCATTCAGTTTTACTCTCCTGTCAGCCACAAACTCAATTATTTTCTACAGAGGCTTGCAGATGTGTTTGATCTGCCTTTATCCGCTCCCATACATAAAATTAAGCTCTATAGAAGTTCACCCTGCATCATTGCAGACAGGGACTGGGCAAGTGTTTTGGAAATCTAGGTACAGAACTCTGAAGTGTACATAGATATATGTAAAAGCAAACTACTTAAGGTTACTATGGAAAAACTCTTGAATAAGGAATAAGCCTGTTCATTCTGATGATTGTATTTTAGACTGCTTTTCTGTATATTGCCCAAGTGACTTCCTCCTGGTGATAAAATACCTTAACTGCATTATAAGATTACTTTACAGAAAGCACACAGACTTAATCAAAAGTTTCTATTAGAAATGTTTCCCTCAAATTCCATATGCTACACCAAGAGAATGAGGTTCTTAAGATACTGCTAGTATTCTGTAGTATATATTATAAAACAGGCAGTAAATAATTTTACCGTATATGCATACTAGTAGCATGGCAATTTTTAGTCCATCCGAATTCAGATTTTACTTTCCTTGTGCTCAAGCAACTTTGTCTTATGTAATATTCAGGAAAATTTTCTGAACTTTCATAAAATGCATTTCTTTTAGGACACTTGCCCTCTTAGCAGCAAACAAAACTCTTTCTAGCCTAAAAGACGGACATAATGATGCTTTTTAAAGAACAGCAAATTATTCATGTGGCAGCATCATTTTTCTAGTTACTGAAAATGGTCTTTGAATAAAAACTTCTTAAAATATGTTGAGACTAGTGGAAATAGAGAATTTTGCTCAATTTCTTGGCAAGAGTAATTGTGCATAGGTATATAATGAAAAGCCATCTTCAGGCTTGGCTGTGAGTCTGTATAGAGTCTAGGCAAGTTCCATGGCTTGCTTGTTATTTCATGCTGACCCTAATCACTGGAATAGCAAATCTGATGGAATGTGTCAGGAAGTATTTCTGCACTACAATTAGATTTTTTTTTCAGATGAAAACTTGGGAACCTAATCTTTTCCTATGGTAAAGAACCTGCTACAACACACGCCTTGAACAAATATTTTGTATCCATACTTCTGGCATACACTGCTGTAAATCCTTTAGGTTCCACAATAAATAAGCACTAAGCTGCTCCCTAGGGACAGAATAAATTAAAATTAGTAGGTGTCTGATGCTCTCTAGAGTCCCTGGGGACCCAGTGAGGTAAGACAGAGGAGGAGTTCAGGACCATACTCAGTTCTTTTCTATTCTACCTACCCTGCTCTGTCAGGCATGCGGAGACCTGGCAGGACCTGCCAT